GGATAAAATCCTATTTCAAGGAGTCTCTTCATTAGTAGAAAACACTGTCATCTATGCTTGTTGGAACAAGAAGATTCATGTCTTTGCCACCTATGCCCGGGCTGTCCATGTAGTATTTCTGATGAAGTATTCTTCAAACCCTAAAAACAAATACTTTAAAGGAAAGTATTATATATTCAAACACCGTGACATTGACTCCTCTTCTGAAGATATCTTAGTTTCTCAAGCCCCTATTCCAAAATCAAAGAAAACTAGTCACAGCACTCCCAGATCTAACAAAGTATCAGTAATATACCATGGAGAGATTTCGGATGATACAAACATTAGTACAGCTTCAAGTACTGAGAATCTTAACAAAAACCTTAACAAGGCAACTGTACTTAATAACACAGGGTTATTACAGGTAGGGGGTGAAGGTCAAAATGTCACAGTTCTTGAAAGTTCTCTTCAGCTTATACCTCAGCATGGTGCAAAGACTCAACTTTTAAAACCAGAAGCTCAGAGCTTGCTGGAGTCTCTCAGCTTGTCTACAACATCAATGGACAAAGAAAAGAGTCTTGGCATAGGAAAGTCTTTTGGAAGACTACCCCAAACTGCGGCACCTGATATCTGGGAGTTGAGACCCTCAGAGTGTGAAGAAGTCCTGGTGGACTTTAGCCAGGTGTACAGGCCAGAAAGTCTTCCAGGCTTTCTTTCTGAGACTCCTTACCTAAGTGTTTCTCATCTAATTGAACCCTTGAAATCTATAGAGTTAGAAGGACCAGAGAGCGAAATGTCCTTTTTACTCACTAGTTTGACACAAACTAATATGGGAGATTTACAACTGAATATAAATCCAACACCTCTAAGTTACCCTGTCCTGGCCTCATATTCACATTCTGTAGCCCATGACAGAGTGGAAACCATAGGCGACAAGAATATTGGCTCTACCCCTTCCCAAAGTCTCAGCAGGGTTACCTTGGTGAATGATGAAAATCTTTTGCAGTCAAACATCTTGGCTTATCAGGTGATGAGCAGTCACGGTGATAGCCTTGTGAAAGGTTCATTGCCTAGCCTCAGAATGACCAGTCAGGATCAAGTGGTGCTTGGTGATCAGTCACAGCCTGAGACAAGGGGAACGGATAAAGCTGGAAGTTACCAAATAAGTTCTACTCAGAGGGTCAGTGGAGATAGTTCTGTAACTGAACTGGATCTGAGAACAACAACCCTCAAAAATATTAACCCTCTTGATGTTTCTGTTCTGGAAAGTTCTATGGAAGTCATTGACCAGCCAAAAATCACATTGGTTACTGCAGCACCATATGGTTTGTCAGACAGTGAGCACCACTTGAAGCTCCAAAGTAGTCAACCTGTGGATTCTGCTTCTACAGAACTAGAAAGCATCCTTCCAAGTACAGAAGTGTCCCTGCATCAAGCTGCTAAGGTAAATGTGTCAGAGGTGCTCTATTTGGGCATGAAAAGCAGCCAGCAGGTGGGCCTGGTTACAGGACTGGAGCCTGTTCCAAGTACGGAAGTTTCTCTTCCTCCAGCTGCCTCAGAACTGGAGCTCATCCCAAGTACAGAAACCTCCCTTCCTGTCCATCTCACAGAACTGGAGCCAGTCATCCCCTTCCCACATACAGAACCATCCCTCCCTCCAGCTGCCTCAGAACTGGGCCCTCTCCTCTTCCCAAGCGCAGAAGTGTCCCTTCCTGTGTTTCCCACAGAAACGGAGCCTGTCACCTCAGCATTGGCGCCTGTCACCCCTTTCCTAAGTACAGAACCATCCCTTCCTCCAGCTGCCTCAGAACTGAGGCCTGTACCTGGGAAGGGGACAGAAGTGACCTTTCCTCTGGCTGCTATGGAACTGGAGCCTGTCATCCCAAGTAGAGAAGCGTCTCTTCCTCCAGCTGCACTTAAAAACGAGCTCCATTGGAGAACAAAAAGCAGTCACAACACTGACACAGAGCTAGATCGTATCCCTCTAAGTACAACCGTGCTGCTTCATCCAGCTTCTCAGAAGGAGGACCTGTTGGAAGGCAAGCCTCCCTCAAAGCCACACCATGACTGCTATGGGGCTCCAGCTGCTACAGAACATAGACATGCCCTCCCAAGTACAACACCGTCCCTTAATTTCTTTCTTCAAGAAAGGAAAATAGGTGTCCAACAATCAATACTAAAAGGTGAGAGAAAGGAGGGCATCCATGAGGCAGAAACTGCACAACCTGGAAAGGCCGGTGAAAGGAATTTAATCACAAACTTCATCGCTGGCAACTTCTTCTCGGACACCGCTCAGCTGCAAGCCTTAAAACCAGAACCTGAGCTTGGACTTCTTGGATCTGAGGGCCATACAAGTAAACTTTCTCCAGTAACTGAGTACCTCGCTAAAACACCCTTCGTGGTAACAAGGACGAATAGAGTAAAGCAAAATGAGCTAATGTTTAAAAATGGTCTTATGACCTCTAACACTAGGGCTACTCCACCTCTGGAGCACATAGCCATGAATTCTAAAGTCAAATTGACTGAACCTGTAAAGGAGATGAGTAACACAACACTGAAACAAATATTCCCAGATACCACAAAACCTCATGAAGTGCAGCAAACCACTGAGTGGAGCAGAGCCTCTCCGAGCTCTGCTACTGCATATAGGAACGCTCTGACTCCAGCTGAGAAACTGGCACCGAAAGAGAGCGTAGATTCACATCCTGTCCAATCGTCTTCTGCTCGCGCACCTGAGAATGCATCAACTTCAGAAGCAAGAGTCCTCCTGAACTATATTGGTATGTTTAACATTTACTGTATATCTCGGTAAATCTTGCTGTCTTTTGGGGTTTAAATCGTGAGCAACCATATGGCTGGGTTCAGGAGTGGGGGATACTGTGGATTCTGTAGCCCTCTGCTGTTGTAACTACATTAGCAGTACTCTACAGCGTGCATACAGTATTTGATACTGAATTAGAAGTTTCTGTACACTCATCTGATGCTGAATGCTTACAACTGCTGTGCAAAGTATGCAGTTACTGGCTTCTAATTATTTTTAATGCTGATCAATTCAGCAGATGAGTCCAAAAGAAATCTGAAAAATAGGGGTTTCTTTGCACTAACATGCAATCTAGTTTAGGAATTCTAATGATTGGGATTGTGGAACTGGCATCCTAGCTGTGGTCTAAAGGGACAGTCGGGGAGTTGTGGTTTCGAGTTTCATTTAGTAACAACTAGGCAGCCCATGTGCCAAAATTCTTCCTCTTACCCACTAGTCCGAAGGGCATCGTGTCCCCTTTTGACTGCCCATCTTGATTGGTTCTAATAGAATAACAACTTTGTTTCTCTCTCTGCAATCTAATTTTGGACCCCAGTGTTCTTGTGACTCGTGACTGGCATTACTGGAAGCATGATCATTTATGCCCTCTTGTGATCACCAAAAAGGGTGCTTGATGAGCTCTATTTGCTTCCCGCCCCTCTGCAGACTTCTCATTGTCCCATCAATCCTGGGAGTGAGAGACTCTTTTGAACTTATGTTGTTCCTCACCAGTCCTGTCTTGGGTGTCAGTGGCAAAGTTTCTTACACTAAACCTCTTTGCTACTGCCAGATCCTGATGACCTAGGGGACAGATTCTTGCTATCCAGCTAACATGGTTCTTGGTGGATATTGCCAACATTAAGTGGAGCTGGCTGAAGAGCAAATATTTGAGTAACTTGACTGTTTCAGTTAACCAAGCAAATGATTTACCCAGCAGTCTGCCCAACTATAGAGCTGGTGGAAACCATTAACAATTAGACTGACCACTTGTGTCTAGTCATAATGAATAATTTGACCAGCTCTATCCCTAACCATTAGAATTTTCCTCAAAATTAGGAAGTGGTAACTGAAAAAACAGTGCATAGAACTGGCAGAGTCATACCAGTTTGCATAGCTAACCAAGAGCCCCAGTAATAGTTTTTACTCCCTCTCTAAACTCTTTTTACAATTTAAAGCAAGAGAGGGTAGAAAAACAACCTAGCAGTAGGAATGCACTCAGACAGGTCTCTTCCTATGATGGAAGGAATCAGCTTTGCTTGTAAACAAGGTTTGTTTTTTTGTTTTTTGTTTTGTTAAAGTTTCTAGAATGAAGATTGATATTACTGATTTTTCTTTTCCTTCCCTGCATTATCCTTCCTTCCTTCCTCAGTGCCAGAACTACCTTGGTTGTTGCTGTATATTCCTATAAGAAGTTGCCACGTCACCTTGAAAGATGAAATTGGGACATTTTCCCCATCAGCACGTAGTGGTATTCAAACCAACATCTGGTGCAACTGGACCATTTGGGCAGGCCCCCAAAAACACATCCTGATTTACATAAAGGGATTTCAGGGGAAGGAAGATTGTGATGAAAACCCAGATAAAATAATTTTTCAAGGGGTCTTGTCAAGTGTGGAAAGAAAAGTAGTTTATGCTTGTAAGAACCAAGGTACTCTGATCTTTGCTACTCAGGCTTTGGCTGTCCATGTTGTGTTTCTGTCCAAGGGCAATTCCTTAAACCATGAACGCAAATATTTCAAAGGACAGTATTATATATTCGAAGACTATGAAACTTCAACATCTACAAATGATACTGCAGCTCCTCAAGAGCCAGTTCAGAAAACAACTAGGAAAACTAAGTATGGAAGTATCCGATTCTACCCTAAATCACCCATAAAACACTACAGAGGTCTTCTGGATTTTGTAAAGACCAGCACAGCTCATAATGAAAATCAACTGCTTAACAAGCTGCCTACGTTGGACAAAGAAGGTTGGGGCAAAAATGGAAGCTCAACAAGACTAGAAACTTTCTTAAGGTTTGTTCTTGGGAACAACACACACATCCCTCTCTTAAAAGCCATGGACAACATGACCTTCAGAACTCATGATCTGAAGTGGCAGCAGTTTATGAAATCTTTGGGTAATGAAAACAGTAGGGAAGAAAAACATTCTGACTTTCTAATGGTAACACCAGCATTAAATATATTGAGGCTAAACATCCAAAATGCAAAAGAGCAAACTATTGCTTTCAGTAAACTTATGGACAGGCCAACAATCCACTCGAACCTGCTCTCTGAGACTCTGCATTTAAAGCAGCCCATGAAATCTGTGGAGATGCAAAGTGTCAAAACAACAAAGTCAGTAGGACCACAGCACAGCTCAGCTGCTCTCTGGAGACCAACTAATATGGAAGACCTACAGCCAGTTGGAAGACAAGCTGTGCATAGACATCCTACTCCTCATCATGGCTTGCAATCTCTGCAGGGCACATGGGAAGAGCAGAACATTCGAACGACCTCTTCTCAAAGCTTTAGAGCTGCGCCGATCAAAGACAGAGAGATGCTCCAGTTAAACCATGTGAACGATGAGAGAGTGGCCAGTCATCCTGCTGCTTTTGTGGAAGACTTCCAGTCTAATACAGGGCTGAGCGGGGATGGTCAAGAAGTAACTGGTCAGCTACAGCATGTGATGAACTTGGAGAGAAGAATTAAAGAAAGTCCTAGTGAACGTCAAACACACAGAAAGGAAAATGACAACGGTGATCTGTACATGAAGCCAGCTTCTGCCCTCAAAAATGTTAAACTTAATGTTGAGCCTCTTGTTTTGGGAACTCCTAAGAAAGTTCTCAAAACAGAGTCCATCCTGGTTACTGTAGCCCTACACAACACACTGGATGTCTCTAACAGTTACCATGCAGAGACCATTGCTACTGAATTCAAACCTGTTCTCCCGAGAAGCACCAGAAGTGGCCTGTTGGGAAAGACAGCTGCTGCTACCGCACATCTTGGCACTCCAGTAACCAAAGACACAGAACCTCCACTGATCATGAGCACAAAATCACCTCCTTCCTATGCCTCTTCTGGTGGAGTATCAAAGGACACTGCATCCTTGAAAATAGAACAGGAAAAAGATTCCTTTGGTAAGTTGTTCTAATTAAGCAAACTTTATATGGTTAGATTATCTACTTGGATTGGCAGATATATGGTCCTGTTAGGGCAATAGACAAGACAGGGTTCCTAGTGTTGATGGGTGTGGCTTTTTTAGTGCTTCAGAAAGATGCTTCCTGTCAGGGTCAGAAATAACTTTGGGAAGTGTTGGATGACTTGACATGAAGATTTTCATCATCCCCCATTGCTCTGAATGTAAACAGCATGTCCCCCTATACACCTCTTCTGTGCCTCGCTGTATCTGAGGAAGGAAAGTTTTTATGCACTAGACATCTAGGCCCATGTTCTTCTCTCAGCATTTATAGTGTTTCACAGGACTTGGGCCTACATTTCTGCCATATTTGTTGAGATTCGTACACTCTCTCCACAGTTAAAACTGCAATAGTCTGCATTTGTCAGCTTTTTTTCTTGCCTCACCTCCTCTAAAACCCACTCTTTCACTTGCCTCCAAATCCACAGGTTTGGTTTGTAACTGATGGGTTTATTTTCCCTACCAAACTTTATAACTGACGTCTTAAAAGTGGAGGTTCACTAGAGTCCAACATTTTGAACACTCCTGCCACTTCGTGAGGTGGGGAAAGAATTTAGAGCATGCCTATGCTGCCCTGTAGTCTGGATTAAGGGAGTGTGAATAGTTGAACACCAGAGTGCTATGCTGTAGCTCCCCCATGTGGATGCTGCGGGTGTGAATGTAAAGGTCCTGAGTTTGCACTAACTCTCTTTGATTCCAAACTGTGGGGCAGAGTAGACATGCCCTTAGTTTACTGGCCTCTCATTGTGAAGATCCAGCGCATAGTACCAGACTCTAGTTCAAAGGAACACTGGAAAACCTTTTCAGGCTTTCAGTGTGTAACTTGTCTGGGTGGTATTTTTTGTTAAGACCATCTCAGTACTCTTCACTGCAGAAGCACCTCAGACTGTAACCTGATCACTAGGCCTATTCTTTAATAGAAGGGCCATTTGTGCTAGTGATACTTTATAAAGTTATAATTGAATAGTAAAACTGTGTTCTTCCCTTTTAGCCTTACTCAACGGCTACCAAATTGGCTTTTCTCTCTTTCACCCTGACAGATATGGCGTCCATCTTCACATCTCTTGAAAATGATACCATGTTGGAATCTCAGCACAATCCTGGAGGTAACTGACTTGGGCAGGGGAAGCATTTTATCATGGGTGAGGTTTTGAAACATGAGACGAGCATTTAACATTTGACCAGAAACCAGATTAAAGATGGGGAAATTAACCACTTGCTTCCAGCTAATAGTCATAAATTATAACAACTGAAGACTCGTCAGGGTTTTTAATTTTATTGTTCATATTTAGTCATTATATGGTGTATATTACAGCAGAATACAATGCACTCCATAACTAATAAAAATCAGCTGATGCCTCTGGGGGTGACGGGGAAGGAGAAGGGAAGCCTGTATGTGACATTAGCAACCAACTTGTTCCTTTGACATTTTGTCTCCGTGGAAACAATTTCTCTCCTTCCCTCCTTTTGTGACTTTATCTGCTCCTGTTGCTTATTCCTCATTTGGAGACCATCTTCCCTAGAGCTCCCTAATTCAGTTATATTTAGGAGGTTGACTCCATTTTGGGGAATTGACAGCTATCATTGAACTCCAAAGGAGCAGAGGTCCAGTAAGTAGGACTTGCCTGCAATGAGAGAGCTTATTAAAGTGGAATGTGTCTAGTGGAATGTGCTTTTGGGGGATCAATACCTTTCAGCACCAAGCTGTGTGGTTTTGGTTTTAAAACTATGGCAAAACTAGTGCCCGTTCATCAGTAGTTATTCGTGCAGTGTGCCAATGGACCTTCATTTGATGTACTTTCATTTATAACTCAGATATCTGATCTCCGTGGGAAAAGGATAGGGTGAAGGATGCTTAGTATCTCATCTGTGCCTTTTAAAAAAAGTCTTGCTTCCTTATGTAAAAGATCCCAAAGCATGATTCCTAAGAGTAGGTGTATTGACTAGAACTGGGTGCATACCGCAAAAATCTTCCCTGGATACTTAAGAACTATCTTCAGTTGTATTCATGTACTTGTTAGTCTATGAATGGTGTGAAATTTTTACCAGCCTGACTGTTGGGAGACCGCTAACTTTAATCTCTTGTGTTCAAATGCTCTTAGAAAGTCAACTTGCTTTCCATGAATTTGAGCCAGAAACCCAATCAAATGATGCTCGTCCAGCTGGGGAACCGATATAACAACCTGTGCCTTGCATGACCAAAAGCAACTTAAAAAAAAAAAAGCTATAAAGTCAGATTGCGAGGAGTAAGCCAAAGAACTAACCTGCAAAAATACAGTCAAAAATCCTAATTTTTCTAATATCCATTCATATATGAAGAGGGTAAATGTCATTGAATAAACATACATGTAACACACACATGCATCCAGGTAGTCTTAACTTTGGCATCCTATCCAAATTGCACTTGCGGCATTCTACCTACCTAAACCACCCTCTGTGCAGCTTTACTTGAGAAGAGGCAAAAATATCATGTTAAACAGCTTGTCATCCCAAAGGAGACTGCCTTGTTGGTAGTGAGTGGAAGGATACAGATTGACTCTAAATTACAGTTACAGTGTGTAACCTTTCTGGGTGAAAAGGTGTAAATACTTGCATAACACGAACAGTACTGCATAAATAGTAACCTAACTTGTGATTGTCTCAAACATTTTGTTCTGTCTGTGGCACAACTTCTAAAAGGATCAACCTAATATGGCACTGACTGACTTATTCAAGAAAGTTCTTGGCTTAGCTCTTCTGGCTGGGTTCTATTCCCCTGCTGTGTGTTGGCAACCCCAAAACAGAACAGTTACTTAAATCATAATTACACAGCTAAATTCAGTACAATTGATGCTCCTTACTAAGGTCTTATTGGGTTTTATTTCTTTTGACAGATGTCTTATTTGAAGTAACTAGTGAAATTGAACACAAGGGATGGATCCCACGTAGTGGAGATGAGCTGAAAAAGGCTCTCATGGAATCTATTAAGCTTCACGTAAGATGGATGTGTTGCCTTGAGACAAGATCATCCCAGTGCACGGTCCCTCTGTGGCTCTCTGTTCCAGCTTTCACATCCAGAGACCTTCTAAATGCCCCTTCCTGTGCGTCTTGCTACCATATGCTAATTTTGTTCCAACACTAACCCTGTAGCGTCCAGTCCAGTGTCTTGCCTCCGTGCGTTTCTGACCGTGCTTAGTCTATGGTAAATTTTCAAAGTACTATAAAATTACAAGCGACTAGATTGGAATATGATACAAAGATCAACATTCAGACAACGTAAGATCAGTTATGGCCTTAACACTCATTTTTGAGAAGAAATTAACTGCTACAGTAGCTGCCACCCAACACTATCTAACTTAAGGAGAGCAGACCTACAAACATTTGCCTTTAAGGCTGCTACATGTGGCTGTTTCAAGAGAGACCCTGTTCCTCTATAGGAATGAAGTTATAACTGATCAGTTCAGTGGCGCACAGGACTGGTGTCTAAAATCGGACATTTCAGAGCTGGGACTTACATTTAAGTCCCAGCCATAGGTCATATACTCCAGGTTGGATAAACTGGCTCCATGGAGGATTTATACTGACTTTTGCTACTGCTATAGCTGCACTAGTGTAAATCCCTAGTGTAGACCGGCAAAGCTGCTGTCTTCGGTGGGTGCAGCTTATCTAGCGTCAAGCACCAGTAAGTTCCACCCATGCAGATAGCAGCTTTAGTTGTCTTCACTAGGGGTTTGCACCACTGCAGCCACTCCAGTGGCTAGCTAGCTGATGGCTGGAATTGGGCAAATTCCCACTGAAGATAAGACCTCAGTGTTGTGTATTAACACAGCTAGTCTAACAGCATTCACCTCCTTGCCTGACTCACTGCAAGGAAGAAACAGGTACAGAATCCTCCTGGCCTACTGTTTGTAGTCAAAACAGCTGCCACATTTACTACAGGATTTAATATTTTCCGAGATGTGGTACTCGGGGGAAGGGGAGGTTACAATTCCCCCTGAACTTCCCATATTGCTGTATGGGAGTCCAAACTAAAGGAAGGTGGGGAGTGGTCTGGCATAGAAAAGGTTGAGAACTGGTCTAGAGGATGGGTGTCCCATATTCTTTCAAAGACTCCTCTTAGATTGGTGACTAACTTTTCTTCCCCAGGCAGCCACCCCGTCTATAGAACCACTAAAATACAGCCCTCTATCTTTGTAAGGAAGTCTGTTTAGAGTAGGCTTGACAGTAGTACTTGGCTAAGCATTGGTCATCCCCTTATGAAAATCAACATTCTGCATTCTGTTACTTTGCAGATACAAAAGAACCTGAAACTCTTGGTAAGCAAAGTCAATGAAATCAAGTTGAAGGAAATCAAAAGGTATGGCTGGCAGACTGTGTGACCCCCCCCTAACACCCACTCAAAATCACTTAAATCCAATTGATGCAGTGTCTTATCTAGAACTGTCATTTTTCATAAAAGGGAAACTTAGATGCTAGTTATCTGCTCTAACTTTGCTATCCCTCCTCCATCTGCCAGTGATCAAGCAAGACTTCTACTTTGGATTGCAAATATGGCTTTTCCTTAGAGTAGGAAAACTTTTTTTTTATACTTCAAATTGGTTGTAGTATGCAATCCCATAGGAATGAGATTGCAAAAATTAATGCCTAAGGTAGTGTTGCACAGCGGCTTTATTGGTGTGGATTAAAATAGAACGATTCTAAAAGTCCCTCCCAGTTTCTGGTTGAAATTTATAACACATGGTGGTAGAAGAAGTCCTCTGAGCGCAAGTTTGTGTTTTTTGTTTTTCCCCTTCATCTAGGACATCAGGTAAACCAAGCTAAGGTTGGTTGAGACTGAAAGCTTTTGTGTAATGGCTGGTCTGTGGCCTAGTGAAAAATGAGTCTAGTGGTTTCAATCCAGCTCCATGTGGAGGGGGGTCTCAGTCACAACTCACCAAGAATTGAAAGGGGAAATGACCAACTCCTCTCTCCCTTTAGAAGTAGTCCCTCTAGGGTTGAGACATATATCGGAGGAAGAATCCAGAGCCCAGTTCAGTAATAACATATATGCAGATGGACATTTCTCTTCTCCACTTAACTGAAGTTACTTTGCTTTAATGCAGGACAAATGACCTAAAACCAACATTCACTTTCTGGTTACACTTAAAACCAGAGGAAAGGAATCTGTCTGTCTTACTCCATTCTCAACTGAATGATCTCATTGGCAAATCTATGGGAGCTGAGAAGTTGCAGATGGCTTTATTATCAGTTAGAGGTATGTGCTTTGCATTATTGAACTGTTTAAAGCTGCTGCTGCTCCTTGTAATAGGCTTAACAATCAACATGATAGACCTGGCTTGGGAAAAGGAGAGCTTGAGTAAAGTTGACTTGGAGCACTGTATGTATGCGTAACTTGATTCTTATGTAGCCTCTACATTTAAAAAAAAAAAAAAATCTGGATTGAGGTGGGAATAACGCATTAGTTCAAGGTGACTGGTATTTCAAGGAAATCCCCTTTTGAAGAAGCACTTGTGTAGCTCTACGGCAGACTTGCTGCACCTGTTCTCTCCATTGCAGATGTGAATGAATGCAACTCTGGAATTGGAATGTGTGGTGATGAGGCTGACTGCCTCAATGAAGATGGCACTTACTTATGTCGCTGTAAAAAAGAGTACGAAGATCGCTCTCCGACGAAATCTGGCACGCTGTGCGTCCGCATTCCACAATCCGGTAGGGGAGACAGAATTATACTTGCTCATCTCCTTTCTTTGAGTAGTGCTGCATCTTAAATATGCAGCTTCATGCTCTTGAATACCATTTCAAATACAAGTACTAGGTGTATATTGGCACCACACCACTGAATAAATTAATCACAATTATTGTTGTGACAACATATGCCAAAGGAGTTCATGTCCAGACGCTTACTGTGAAATGCTCTCAACCAGGTATGAGTAGCAAAAACTATTTAAATACAAGTACCTCACAGTAAGTGGCTAATCTCTTGACTTTAGTCCTTTGTAACAATAATCACTATGAATCTTCACTTTGTTAAATGTGGATTAAGTTTGATTCAGAAATAACTCTGTTGCTGATAGAATTCAGTCTTTGTGCCTAGCCCTGGATGAGGGAGCAAGGAACCTTTCCCATTTCTTTGCAAGGACTATCAATGCTGGCTGTGTCAGATGTACTCTAAGTTCTCCATGAGAAAGTAGAACTCCTACTTTGGCTTATTATCTTAAACTGATTTCTAATAGATCTAACACTAACAGAAATCAGCTGCTCTTAGAGTGAGGATGAGCGCCCACGGAGGGGTTTGTATCATTTTAAAAACACCTTTAGTTTGCTATTGTTCAGAGCAAAATTCTCTAGTGGTAAATTATAAGTCAAGAAGAGACTCCTCTTCCCTTCCCCTCCCCCACTGAGCTGTTGAAAACCAGATTTACTCTTAAAATTCTAACGATCAAATCTATCTACACTCTACTGAGCAGGCTGAGGAACAATATTGTCATGAGAACTTTCAGGGCTGGCTGGGCACAGTGATGTGAGGCAGTAGCCAGTGCATGAAAATAGTGTTTCGAAATCCAGCATGTTGGCTTTCAGAATAAGGCTCTGCTTGGCATGTTTGTCCTGGGCTGACTGGCTTCACTCCATTAATTATGACAAGTACATGTCTAATCCTTCCCCCTCCTAGATCTGCTGTAGAGCTCTACTTGCTATGACTCGTCTTCCTACATTCTTGCAGAGTTACAACTTGAATTTGGCATATGGGTTTACAAAAGAATTGACCAGTGACCTAATCACTACCCCACATTGCCTTGGAATTGTTCATATTTTAGTGGAACTTTGAAGATGACGGCAAGAAAGGGGTTCAGATTCTTCCAGTGTGTACACAACTCTTTGTTTTGCCTTATGCAACCCTGCCAGATGGCACAAATCGTGGGTCAGATTATAACTAGAGTGAGTTAATCTAATCCCCTCTGACTAGTTGTAAATTGTTAATTTAGCCCTTCCTTTGTCAGCTAACTCTTCTCAAATTAATTGATTTCTGAAATGTTTATAAAAATTTGCCAAACCATTTAACAAAACAAGCTGGCTTCACATGCCTTTGCCAAAACACAAGGCAAATGAAATTGTGCCCATATTCAAATATTCATGAATCCTTTTATTCAGCCAGTTCTAGTTATAACCAAACTACCTTTTTCTATTAGTTTTGGGGGAGAAATTCAAAATAAACAGGAGAACAAAATGTACTATAAACATTTCAGTGGGACTTGTAGGGAATAAATGGGCAGTTGAAATCAATGCCCATGTGCTACCAGGTCAGCTCCCCTCTCTCCCCTATGAGAACTAGAATACCCTGTTTCCCCAAAAATAAGACAGTGTCTTATATTAATTTTTGCTCCCAAAGATGCGCTAGGTCTTATTTTCAGGGGAGGTCTTATTTTTCCTGGAGCTTCGGGGCCTTATATTCCGGGGTGGCCTTATTAGCGGGGAGGTCTTATTTTCGGGGGATGCCTTATATTACAGCGAGAGGCAAAACTGGAAGTAGGTCTTATTTTCGGGGGATGTCTTACTTTTGGGGAAACACGGTAGATAAATTGTGTCTCAAATTGTAATGGATTGTAAGTGTTGCTGGTATTGCTACTGGGGCTCTACCCCATTAAGAGAATCAGAATAAAACATTATGCTGGGTCTGGAAACCATTCATAGGTCTAAATTCTTCTGCCAGATAGAGGATTGAAATGAGGAGACGACTGCCTTTGTCCCAGACTACATAACATATATCACAGTAAGAATCTGCAATTGGACTTTTGCAGCTATAGCAGAGCATAGAGCAGCTGCTTCAAAGGTGCATGTAATTAATGAGTAAACATTAATAAGTCAAAGTCCCATACATATATTTTTTTCAATGTCTCCAAAGGGAGACAAGGTAGGTTAGGTAACATCTTTTATTAGACCAACTTCTACCTCATCCACCTTCTCTCTAATATCCTGAGACCTGCCACAACATTGCATGCAATAATAGTTCCAAAGTCACTTTTGAAGATGGAATGTAAGCTATTGAAAGTCACTAGGACTTTGGCTCCTACGTCACCCGGCTTTGGAAAGGCTTAGCTAGAGTGACTGCAGTGTAGGGTCATTCTGAATGTGATTTGCCTTCAGACTAAAAGCCCCACCTGAAGTTAGCCTCTCAACACAAGACCCATAAACTATGGTGTGAGGCTGAATATGACTGTCATCTTTCTTTTTAGGTATTGGCGGTTTGTTCAGCTACCTGGAAATTCTGGTAGGTACTACAGTATTCTTCATCTTCATCCTCGTGGTGGTGGCAAGCAGTCTGTGCACAATACTCAGGAAAAGACCCACAAAGAAGGCTTGTATTGAGGAGCCGGTTGCAAGTGGAACACCTTCTTCAGCACAGTCTCAGCTGCCTGTATCTTCTATTGATCTGAGTAACCTTGGTGACCACCTGATCCTGGACCCCTTCCGGCCAAAGCTCAGAGCCAAGCCCCCAGAATGGACATCACAAGTGCGAGCCCACCCAAATGAGACTTATAGAATCTCCGTTGAGCAATCTGAATGTTTGTAAAGCAAACCTATACTGAAAGTTTGAGTTTTTTCTACTGATTTCCTCTTATTTACCATTCATGAGCTGAAATGGCCTATTCCTTTCAACAGAACTTGAACAATCCTGTATCTCCTACACCTGTTTTCTGTTGGCTGAAGTGAATAGAGCTGTGGCTCAAAAGAAAATTTATTTTAGTTCTTGGTTGGATTCTTGACCCCTGTACTGTCTGTTTGGTTTCATATCGCTGATTCTTTGTAACTTGAAGGAATTTTCTGCAAACAGCTGGCATGTAAATAAAGCTGGTATCTCACTAAGCATGGAAAATGTACACCTTGCGTACTGTTGGTGTTAGATGCAAGGAGTGGGGAAAGACAGAAGACTTCAGTTAGCAGGAAACCTGAAAAGGATTAGTTTAAGCAAGTTTACTGCCCCTTGTTAGGCAAACAAGTCAACTGAAAACCAGAAGTAAATTAAAGCAGTACCAGGGCAACTCTTAACTGTATTGCCCTTGGTCTTCCTGACACCACCTTCCTTTTTTTTCTTTCTTTTTTTCTTGTTATCTAGGCACTCTGCAGTCTATCTTGCTTTCTTTACTATCAAACCTAATCCTCTTATGCGTACATGCACTAATGTAAAACAATTTATTTACATAAAGGTGGTGTCTCTATAACAAATGTCCCATCTTGTCTTAACTCTAAACTCTAGCTGTACAGAATTCCAGCTTTATCATTTTAAATGAGAACTTCATGGAAATGACTTGTCTGAAAATAATGGTGTGTTGTGCATGAAATTTTATGGGTTTTTTTGGAGGGGGGGCTGAGATCCTACTTAGTGTGTGTGGGGGGGGGGGAGGGGGAAATCTTTGTCTTATCCTTGTCATTGCACTACAATAAAATAGACTTTATAAAATGACTGCACCTTAATTGTGAGGCTCTGAAGGTAAGAAAAGAATAGCCTTTCAGGCCTATTTCCTGTTGGAGCTGCTCAGCCTCTGTAAGCTTGCTCTTCTCCCGTCCTATCTCCATCTGACCCAGTCTCTCTGTGGACGTCAGTGCCTTGTGCTGGTCACTGTGACTTACTAGTGCCAATCATAAGGTGAAGTTGTGAAAGGAAAAACCTAGGATATGGATCTGGAGAACCAGCTCCCCTGCGGGCACTGCTGCATCATAACATGTTCAGCAGGGAGCCAGGCTCCAGCACAGTGCCTGATGTTTTGAGTATGCAGCTGCCAGGTTCTAGCTTGTTCTGTGGATGAAAGCAAGTCTCATTCCCTGGGCTGTGCAGCAGGAGTGACAGGGGAGATCTATTCCTCCCCCAAGGGGAGTAGAGGCCAGTGTAGGAGGAAAGAGCCTAACCCCACCCTCACTATTCCGAAGCAAGCTCTCTTCTCTCCCCCCCTTCCCCCCCCCCCCCTGAAAATCTGACCTTTAAAGGGGGCTGCTAAGCAAGTGCCCTGACTTTCACAAGTGCTCAGCCCTCATTGACCGCAATGGGAGTAGTTACTAGCTCAGTGCTTTCTCCTAAACTAAGTCACTTATTTAGAAGCTTAACTCGTGACCTTGCTGTTCTTGGCAAAGAGCTGTAAGGCATTCACATACCATAGAGCTGAGGCCTTTTTTTTAAAAACAACCTGGCCCACAGTGATGTGCCCCAACATGAACTTCTGCTCTGTAATAAGTGGTATGCCTATGGTTATGTCAAATGCCAATTACCTAGGGGTTTTAAAGCCAAAATTGTACACCTATACCCCGATATAACGCTGTCCTCGGGAGCCAAAAACTCTTACCGCATTATAGGTGAAACCGCGTTCTATCGAACTTGCTTTGATCCCCGGGAGTACTGCTTTACCGCGTTATATCTGAATTCGTGTTATATCAGGGTAGAGGTGTACTTAATTCTTCTATGCTGTACTACAGGGTTTAAAAAAAACAACAATCCATAACTTCAGTGGGTTCTAGTAGGGCCTTATTATTCCTCCATCTTTCCCACCTATCTAATGGCAGCAACTCTGCCCCAATACTACTTCTCATCTTTATCTAACTCTATTTGAATGTTTTCTTGAAGAAAGCTTACTGAATTTCAGTGCAATTCTGTCATACCACCAGAGGTCAGTATTTTCCACAGAAAAAAGCTGCTGCTGTATATTTTGATAGACTATTAGGGCACAGTGCCTGCTTCAATGATTCTTCCTGTGCCTAATAACTTGGAAATGCATTAAACCCTCCTTCTTTTCCAGGAGGAGGGAAAGGATGGTTAACCAGCAGAGGTCCATCACCTAGGTCCTACACCTGAAATGATGAACATCTCTTTGTTTGGAAGCGGAGGCCAGCCATGGGAAAGGAGCGCCCAGGCTGGGATACCACTCAAAGTAACATTACAGCTACTGTTGCACTTTACTTCAACTGTTTTATTCTTTCAGGTGGCAACCATATGTTCCATTTTGGTCTGACTGACTCTCCTTGGTACTAATGCAGTGCGCAGAGGTTAGGGTGACCAGATGTCCCGATTTTATAGGGACAGTCCCAATTTTGGGGTCTTTTTCTTATATGGGCTCCTATTACCCCCCCACCCATTATCCCGATTTTTCACACTTGCTGTCTGGTCACCCTAGCAGAGGTGCTGCCTGTCCACTTGAATCAGCCAGGAGTGTGTGTTCACAAACACTTGATGAACTGGGGTGCAATACTACAGGTACCTGCCAGGGACAGTGTCTGAGGTTCTCTGTCATGAAGCTTATAAGAGTGTGATATGAAAGCCTCATCCAAAACTGGAGGTGGCCTAATCAGCTTTGTCGGGTAAGTTGGCTGAGTGGTAACTTTGGTGCAAGGTGACTGCATTCCTTTGGTGTAAAAGGCTAGTTCAAGTTACTTTGTGCTAACATGACAGCTCCTGCCCAAATAGGTGCACTGAGCTTCCTCCCCACCCCTGGTGTTCATCCCATTCTGAATTCAGCGTTATTGCCTGTGGTTTGGCAATAAGAAGTGTAGAATATACCTCCTAGGGCAGGGTTGGGCAAACTATGGCCCCGGGGCCGAATCCAGCCCTTCAGACGTTTTAATCCGGCCCTCAAGCTCCTGCCAGGAAGAGGGGTCTAGGGCTTGCCCCGCTCCGCGGGTGCCGTGCTCTGCGCCGCTCCTGGAAGCAACAGCATGTCCCCCCTCCAGCTCCTACACGTGGGGCAGCCAGGGGCCTCTGCACACTGCCTCTGCCCCAAGTGCTACCCCCATAGCTCCCCTTGGCCAGCAACAACGGCCAATAGGAGCTGCAGGGTGGCACCTGTAGACAGGGCAGCGCACAGAGCCACCTGGCTGTGCCTCCGCATAGGAGCCGGAGGGGGGATATGCTGCTACTTCTGGGAGTTGCTTGAGGTAAGCACCGCCTGGAGCCTGCACCCCGACCCCCTCCTGTGATTCAACCCCCTGCCCCAGCCCTGAGCCCCATCCTGCCCTCTGACTCCCTCAGTCCCACCCTCCTGCACCCCAGAGCCTGTACCCACAGCCAGAGTCCGCACTCCGCACCCTCACCCCAACCCCCTGCCCCAGCCCGGAGCCCCCTAGTGCACTCTGAACTCCTCATTTCTGGCCCCACCCCAGATCCTGCACCCCCAGCTGGAGCCCTCATCCCCTCCTGCATCTCAACCCTCAATTTTGTGAGCATTCATGGCCTGCCATACAATTTCCATACCCAGATGTGGCCCTTGGGCCAAAAAGTTTGCCCACCCCTGTCCTAGGGTCATCCCAGTGCTGCTGCATTAGATGTAACCTGCCCATTAAATAATATTGCACTTACAGACCATCTTCTATGCAAAGTATTTATAGGGTGACCAGAGGTCCCGTTTTTAAAGGGACAGTCTCATCTTTAAGCCCTCCTGCAGGTGTCATGACTTTTTCTTAAAAACAGGCAAATTGTCCTATATTTTCTGTCCCCCCCCCCCGCCCCCCCCCCATCAGTACTGGTGAGTATTGTTGTTGGCTGGATCCCTGCTCACCAGCCGCCTGAGCCCTATCCCCTTTCTGGCAGTTCTGGCTGCACGCGGTGAGCGGCAGTGGCTGGTGAGTGCGGGCAGAGGCCAGCTATGTGTCGCCTCTGCTGCCCATCTATCTGCCCTTATGTGCTCCCCCTCTCGGTGTCCTCTCCCTGCTTTGCCCCTTCACCCCCCACCCCCGCTGCTCCTCCATATCCCCCATGGCAGGGTGCATCTCAGAGCTGGGCAGAGAACCAGCCCCCTGGTCGGAGCGCTCAGCTCACCAACGGCCTGGCCAGCAGGCTCCTTCCTTCCCCCACTGCCTCCAGCTGGGCCGGTGCCCCAGGAAAGCCCAACACCCTCCAGCCCAAGGCGTTGGCCAGGAGGAACCAAGGCCCGCACAGCGCTGGCACGGGGAAGCCTCTCTGCCCCTCAGCAAAGCTCTGCAGTGGAGGGGAGGAAGCGATTTCCAGCCTGTTCATGCCCTGACCCTGCAGGCTCCACAGCAGCCCCCCAGGCAGGGGTTTAGCACCCTTTTCACCTGTCTTCCCCCTCCCCACACACCCTGGGTCCTTTCCCCAGGGAGCGCGGGGCTGCTCCATCCCCTAGGCACCCTCTCCGGCTGAGCCACTTCTCTGGCCGGGTTCGCTGAAGCCCCTGCAGTCAGGTTCCCTGGGCCCTGGTGCAAAAGGCATCCTTAGGGCTTAACCTCTTCCTGCCCATGCTGTAGCTGGAGGACAGGAGGCCTCTGGGTTATGTCAGTGGCCAGCAGCAGCCTAGAAGTGTTAACTGCCTTTCCACACTGTGCGGGCAGGAAGGGACAAGCTGCTTCCAGCCCTGGCGGGGGGAGGGGGAAAGAGATGAGCTCTGCAAAGACATGGGCCAGGTCATCCTCCCCCCTCAACTCCCCCTCCCCTGCGGCTGGAAGCAGCTCCCGTCCCTTCCTTCCCACACAGTGCGGAAAGGCTGTGGCCATGTTGTGGTGAGAACCCTGGCAGAAATCTGGAGTGGAAGGCATGTGACCCTGTGTGCCCCCATGTGTTGCCTTGGGAACACGTGGCACTAGGTACCAGGAGAGGCGGGTCCCTCCTGGGGGCCCAGCCAGGCATAGAGGGCGGAGAGCGCTGGGCAGGGAGTGTTCGGTCGGTTGGTCACTCCCCCTGTGAGAGAGGCGTATGGGAGTGTGTGTGTGTAACCCCTCCCCACGTGAACCTTAAAGCCTTACAGATAAGAAGGTAAATAATAAAGAATCCAACTACGCAGTAATTCTTTTAAACAGGGGCTCAGTCAACTCGATGCTAATTTGAACGTTTGTACTGCATAGTTCTGATTGATTGCCATTGAACTCGCTTGAACACGAGTAATTTTACCAGGTGTCCTGTATTCAGCATAGGGAAATATGGTCACCCTAAGTATTTAATAAATGATGAATTACCTCACTACCTCCGAGGGAGATAAATGTGTGTATTCCCATGTTACGCATCAGGAAACAGGCATGGCTGTCAATTGCCTGCTTTGTTTCCACATGTGCTGGAAACTGGTTAATGGAAATTGACAATCACAAGAGACTTATTCAAGGTCACCCAGGAGGTCTGTTGCAGAGGTTGGAAAAGAACCTAGGACTTCTGACTTCCAGATCCATACATTAGCCTGAGGCCAGCCTTCCTCCTCCTTGAGTCTTCTAAAGAGGTTCATTGGCGCAGGCTATTCACGATTCTGAAGATTAGACCCTTGCTGTTAGTCTGAATGTCCCCAGCCCAAGTCATTTAGTGACTCTCAGCACTGGTGGGGAGGACAATGTGTTCCGTTGCAG